AGCTCCCAGTCCCCCACCTAGCCAGACCCACAGGGGGTCTCTGCACCAATAGGACACTCAGAGCCAGGCTCTGCCCTGAGCCCTGGGCCCAGCAGAGGGGACACCTGGACTGGGAGCGGGGAAGGAGTCACTGGGGGGTTCCCCAGCCAGGTGGGAGCAGCAGCCACTGGAGATTTGGTGCAGAGGAAGGGGGGAACCGTCCCCAAAGGGGAACTGCAGAGCAGGAGGGCTTTTCCAAGGCGATGGGCGGAGCTGAAGGTTATAAAGCTCAGTATATAGTAGAGACTTGCACAGTCCCCTACAAGTCAGTGGTGGTGCTGTGCACAGAACCCAGGAGTCCTGGCCCCAATCCTCCCTGCTCCCCTCTCAGAGTCGGGGATAGGACCCAGGAGTCCTGGCTCCCCGCCCTCCCAGCAGAGAAGCCAGGGAGTGAAGGGACCCTGGAGCCTGGACTGGCCTGTCACCCACTAGGGAGCAGAGCTCTGGGCCCCCAGGGGCTGGGGTTGCTCCGTGACTCATGCTGTTAGCCCATGACTCAGAGGAAACTCTGGCCCCTGTGGAAAGGCATCCAGGAGCCCGTCCCCAGGGCCACGGGGTCTGACCTGCCACTGAGGCCGCGTGGTGAGGACGGGCCCCAGGAGTGAGTGACGGGGCCTGCGTCTCACGGCCTGTCTGCTTCCCACTGCAGAGCCCAGCTACCCCAAACCCAGCATCTCCCTGAGATCCAGCAGGGGGGTCTCCCTGGGCGGAACTGTGGCTGTCTGGTGTCGGGGGCAGCACCGGGGCGTGCGGTTCGTGCTGAATAAAGAGCGACGCCATTTCCCACCTGTGGATTCGGACGACTTTGAGACTGTGTTTTCCAGCAGCAACGTGAGCCGGGAGGACGGCGGGAGCTACAGCTGCTCCTATCACAGCAGATCGGAGCCAATCACCGTGTCGTACCCAAGCGACCCCATGGAGCTGGTGGTGAGAGGTGAGGGGCCCGGCTCGGTGTCCCCGTTCTCAGCCCCACCCCCAGCCAGACCCTGACGGGGGCTCGGTGCCAATGGGATGCTCAGAGCCAAGCTCTGCGCTGAGCCCTGACCCCGCAGAGGGGACGCCCGGCCCGGGAGCGGGGACAGAGTCACTGGGGGGTTCCCCAGCCAGGGGGGAGCAGCAGCCCCTGGAGACTCGGGGCAGGGAGGCTACTTTAAAGCTGCCCCTTTTGCGTACGAACCGTGAGTCGCTATTTAATCCCGTGAGCCCATCCCCTCTGTTCTCCAGGCCCTGCCCCAGGCAGTGCCCCGGCCCGGGCTGAATGAAGCAGGGCTGCAGGAGAAGTGGTGGCTTGGTGGACACGGCGCTGGGCTGGGACCCAGGAGATCTGGTCCAGCTCCTGGCGCAGCCACAGACTCTGTGTGATGGGAGCACGTCACAGTTTTCAAAAGTGTCCTTCCTTGTGGGGGGGCCTCAAGCTTGGGGGATCTCAGGCCGAGTGCCCACAAACCGAGACGCCCACAGTTAGCAGAGACCTCTGCAAACGCTGGCCTCAATAGCGCTGGATCTCTTTCATTGGGGGAGCATGTAAGGCCCTCGCCATGATCAGGGCCCCGTTGTGCCAGGCGCTGCATAAACACAGAGTGAAGAGACAGTCCTGGCCCCTGGGAGCTCACTAAGGAAAGTGAATCTGTCTGTGCCTCAGTTTCCCTCTGTGTAGAATGGGGATAAAGACCCCTCTCTGCCTCCCAGGGGGCTGACTCCCTTCCTTTGTGGAGCTCGTCTCCTGCGGTGCCGGGTGCCAGAGACCAGCCCGTGAGTTGCTCTGTGATCGGGGGCGGGGAGAGCTAGATGCAGTGAATGAGGCAGGGGTCACACATGGGCATATGAGGACCCAAGAACTAGGGAGCCGCGGCTCGGTGTCTGTGGGGCTGGGAACCCAGCTCACAGGGCTGGGATTCTGGGTGGGGGGAACTCTAGGATCTGGGAGAAAATCTCTGCCCGGGGGCCCCTGGATCTGCCCATGGCTGGGACCGGCCGGGGAGGCCGGGGCTGGGTGGGTGCCCGGGTTTGGCTCTCACAGCCTGTCTCCTGTGCGCAGATCCCAGCTTACCCAGACCCTCCATCTCTCTGAGCCCCACTTGGGTCACCGCTCCAGGGGCAGACGTCACCATCTGGTGTCAGGGGCCGCGTCGGGACGTGAGGTTCTTCCTGCACAAGGCTGGAGACCTGAACCCACAGCAACACATGGACCCTGCTGGGGACGGGGCCGAGTTCCGCATCCCCACCGTGGGCCGGCAGCACGGAGGGAGCTACAGCTGCAGCTACCGGCCCCGATCAGAGCCCTTCGTCTCCTCGCAGCCCAGTGACCCTGTGGAGCTGGTGGTAGCAGGTGAGGGTCCTGGCTCGGTGTCCCCGCCCCCAGTACCGCTCCCAGCCGGATCCTCCGGGGGGCTCTGCACTGATGGGATGCTCAGAGCCAGGCT